AAGAAGAGAAGAGTCAGTAAACGACGGGTCAAACAAATGACGACCACATACTGGAAAAAGAAAATTTATACCCAGATAGCTAACGGGATCCTCGCTCCCAAGGAGCTCCCAGACGTTTATGAGACTCGACTCAAACACGGGCTCCCCGTTTCTATCCAGCACTGGCATACCTCCCCGGTCGACTCACTGGACCGGAGGAATTCAAGCTACAAACGAGGTCAGAGTAGTGAAGCTCGACAAATCCTCATCCCCAAGCTCTCCCTCTCTCCAGACATAGGAGCCCAACTCCTTCTCGAAATGTCTGCTGGTCCATTGAAACGAGAACTTGGAGACCAACGTCACGGTAGGCTCCCCCAACTCGTTTATACGAGGAGTTCCATCCTTGTTGAGAGACGACCGGCTCCTAAAAACGTTCAGCAACGCCTTCGTTGAGGTGGGCTGCACCAAGATGTACTTGTCCTTTAAATAGCGCACGGACTCCAAGTAGGCCTTGAACAACTTCCCGTTGCCCTGTTTGGGGGAGACTCATCCCCACCTTCTTCCAGTCCTGCTCCTCTGGATGTGAAAACAATAGAAAAACAACGGGATCGTGGCCCCTATCTTCAGATAGTCGCACACTATCTGGAACGCCCGCACGAACGCAATCTCGTTCGGGTGCAACTGGGAGGGAGCCACGTGCAGATGCCGGAAAATGGTCACCTCAAAGTCATAAAAAGGAATGCGGAGACCCATCTGCTGAAAGACTATATCGTACATAGGAATCCTCCTCCTATCATATCTCGAGCAGATCCTACTGTCCTTCCTGGGGATATACAACGACTACTCCTCCCGGGCCCCCTCCTTATGGGTGTAAACATCGGTGAAAACTTCCTTCCCATGCTCATAAAAATATGACCGCCACTCCCAAGGGTCTTTCGCTACCCAATCTCGAGGATCCTCATCATCTCGAAGAGGAAACAGGTCGCCTCGAGCCGAAGAGGTCGCCCCCACGTCAGGCTCCCCCATTTGTTGATTTGTCTGGTTCTGTTGCTCCCCGGAGATTTCCAATATGCTCGACGAGCTACCACTAGTCTCGCTCGAAGAGCTCTTGGAGGATTTTGTAGACTCGCTCTAAATGACAACCTGTGCATCATCATCCATAGCACGTGAAAAGCAGAGGAAAAAGATGAGCTCGACATCAAAGCCGGAACCACCCTTCCACCGTTGGACAAGTGAAAGGGTGCTAGGAGACGAGGATCGTATCCCCGACCAGAACCCTCGCTGAGATACACTGACGGGCACAAAACGCGAGAGAAAGTCCTAATCCTTCACTAAGGCACACTAACGGGTTGGAATCGCATAAAAAGCCCAGAAATCCCCTGAGGTATTCTAACGGGCACAAATTGCAGAAAATCTCAAACCCTAACAAATCACCTATAACACAACGTCAGGCCCCTGAGGAAGCCTCACAGCGGCTCCAACAGCCATGCGCCACGGGAACAACGTCCGTCACCTAGAGTCTCTAACGACCTCCTCCCTAACGGAATCCTAAATCCTAACCACATGCATATCTAAAAGGCAAAAAACGAAAACACTAAGACATGCAACAATAGAGGAATGGAAACTCACCGATAGAAGAAACTGAGCAAATGCTGGTGGTCGACTGTCAAACTAATACGAGCAGTTGAAGGAGAAGGCGAAAAATACTAATCGCCCTGTTCCTCTCGTATTTATAGCTAAAACAGCCCGCGCATATCAAACACGCGCCTTAGTAACCCCATGGTCGTCATTATGACACCCTAGCCCTAGGCCATCATTTATGCCGCTCGACTGACACGTTTCCCAAAAACACGCTATCTCTCCAAATTCAAAAGTCCCAACGGCAAACGTTTCGCCTCCCCGACAGAGAAGTATAACGGGAAAACACTCATTTCCCCGTCCCCCGAGCAGACATCAAAGTCTTCACTCATGTGCCCAAAAGCAACGACTTGGGGGGCTATTGTTTTGGACTGGCCCGAAAGCTTGAGTGGGCCCAATCTAAGATATCTCATAGGTGCCATCCAGTGATCGTGACCCGGACTGCCCACACCTGTCGGGCAATATCACCTTATTTCCCTTATGGTCTAACTCCGATCCAAGATACCCGTGGAGCGTCTTCTCAGTCTGCCCGACACCAGCGCCGCGCAGGCCACCAGGGACCGACCAGAGAGATGCCCGCAACCAGCCTCCTCCTCGGAACCAACGGCTAGTTACGAGCACATCTCTCCGGTTTGACCAAGTCCTGGCAATTACCTGATTTTCTGGACCCGTATATCTAGGCGGGAAATCAGGAACCAATGGCCACGCGCCAGAGGCATTATATAAACCCTTACGCTTGTGAGGGCCAGATATCACATTTTTCACTACCCATTACCTGATATTTTACTAGTATCTTCTTGCTCCCACTCTTACTTAATCGTTGGAGTACCTTACTGATACAATCCCCTCTCTCCTCAGTCCGACTGAAAATCATCCTCTGACCACTCTCAAGATTCTGATCAACCGCAAGATTATATATATATATATATATATATATATATATATATATATATATATATATATATATATATATATATATATATATATATATATATATATATATATATATATATATATATATATATATATATATATATATATATATATATATATATATATATATATATATATATATATATATCATGAAATAAATAATTTTAACTTTCTTAATCGTAAATAGTAGGTAATAATATTATATATGTCATATAAATTAAATAAAGATACTATATATATTGTTTATAAATAAAACTAGCAGCAAAGCGAAAGTGTTTTAAAATTTTTAAACTTAAATATAAATATATATTAATAAATTATGTATATTTAATATTTTTATTTCAAAACTTCCCTATACTAATTACCTAATAATAATACTATTAGTAAATTGTATTTAATTAAAAGTAGTAGATAAAGAAAAGTTCTTAGATAAACACCATATAAATTCAATTAAAATATAAATTAAATTTTAAATAAATTTAAATTTTTCTATCTTTTTATTAGATGTTCTTAAAAATATAGATTTAGATGTGTTTCCATGCAAGAATTTCTCAATAAATAAGTAATTGTGTTAATTATTTTACATAAAAAATATATTTAATTATCATTTTTAATAAATAGGACAATTATCTTCTTTTTTTTAATTAAGACTGAAGTAATATTTAATTTTCAATATTTTGAATTAAGGGTGATTACATAAAAGTATATCTTCAAATTTAGTTTTGAAAATAATAAAGATGATTAATTCACTCAATCGTTGAGCAAGTGTAATTTAAATGCATATCAAAATACATCTTCAAATTTAAGAAATGCATCTCAAAATACATCTTCAAATTTAAGAAATTTGTATGACTTTTTACAATAAGAAACTAACACAAAGTAATGCCCTAAACTTTTATATATTGTCTCATGTTAATTTCCATTAATGGAAGTTTCATCTCATTAAACTTAAAAACCAAAAGTTTTTAGAGATTACTCTATACTAATTTACAAGAAAAAACGAATATTCCACACACAAAGTTTAAATTTGTGTTTTTTTTTTAAAATTTGTTTTATGAAAAAATGTAAAAATAATTTTGATTGGTTGTTGTTTATATAAAAAAAATAAAGAGAAATCAAATAAAATGTAACTTACATTTAATTTTGTTTAGAAAAAGATAATTTTTTTAGAATAAATTTGATATTTTTTTACTTATAATTTGTTACAAGAAAAATGAGTATTTTTTTCTTATAAATTGGTAACCAATAAAATAAAATAAAAATTAGAAAACTAAAAATGATTGTTAGGATATTTATAAAGACCATAATCCTATTTAGCTAAAAAAAAGTAATATAATAGTAATATTTTAATTAAATATTTAAATATGATTTGTAAATCTTAACTCAAACAGGCAAATATATAATATTGTTTAAATACTCAAAAAAGAGTCTATATATACTAATAAAAAAATAAGAAAAAGAATATTTCCATAAACATTGGTCTTCTTTTACTGCAAATATAAATTTTTGTTCATAATTTAAATATTTTATAAATGATGTCGATATTTAATTTAGTATCTTTCAGTTTACATACAATATAAACAGTGTCTGGCGTGTCCGTCTCAATTATGTATCCGGTGGTAGAGCCTGTACTTCATATGTGTTTAGATAATGAGAACCTAAAGAGTGATTAATACTGATGGATTTACTACACATGAATTACTTGAGTCCAACCTTATAAGGCAAAATTTCCATCTCGGTCTACACTAGCAGCTCCAACCCAGTTATAATTTCATCAAATGCAGAAAAAGCTTCATTGCGCTTACTCTGCAAACAAAGATCAGGCTTTTCCCAGATAGGATACTCTCTTAAAAAATTTCTTCAAAGCATCATGAATTCCCACTCCTCTAACTATATCCCTGAAAGTCATTATCAATTGCAAATATTATAGCAAAAATGTAGTTTGTCTTTCCTCTCTGCATATGATTGCAACATGATAATTTATAGACTCCTCCAAGTGCACCTTAAATCCCACAAACAAGGATCAGGCTCTTCCCAGATAGGATACTCCCTTTTATAATTTCCCCAAATGTATCATCAATTCAGTCCTCTAATTGTCCCTCAAAGCCATTATCAATGCCAACATTATAGTTAGAATGTAGTTTGCCTTCCTCTTTGCATATGATTGCCGCATGATAATAAGCCGCCTCCTTGTACACCTTAAATCCTTGCTCATTTTCTTTCAGCTAAACCGGAAAAGACTTGCTTACTGCAATTGCATTTTTGCATACACTAGTCATCCCGTAGCAGCACATCAAGGTACTACTAATCTGATTATCATCATTACAGACAGGACCTTGATCATCATTGTATTCCATTGCATATACTTGCAATCTGACTAACAACTTTTATGCCAAAACAAAGACAAACTCCCTGCTGTGATGTGTGCATTCTGCTGTTGCCAAAATCAATTAATGTTCAAATTTATTAATTTTTTCAGCAATCCATTCACCCAGTCTTGGAGACTCATGTTTCTGACAAGCATCAAGGGCTCGTTCCAACATGCGAAGAGTAGGCTCTATTGTCATTGTTTTTAAAAAACTATCGAGCTCATCCATGCATCCATGCCGACTGTAGAGTTCAATCATGCAGTCATAATGCTCCATCTGAGGCAGGACAAGGTATTCATTGCTCATAGACTTGAAGCAATGGGTGCCAAAATCAACAAGGCCTTCTTCAACACAAGCAAGAAGAATTCCCTCAAAGGTCACGTGGTCTGGCTTGATGCCTTCTGCTTCCATTATCCCGTAAAGTTCAAGTGCATCTCTTCCCCTATGATTGTGACAACATCCCAAAATTAACGTATTCCACATTATCACATCCCTGGAGACTGTACCTTTCAGAACTTCAACAGCATACTCAAGACAGTAGCATTTACAGTACATGTAAATCAAAGCAGTCCTGATTACAGTATCTATCTGAAATCCATGTCTAATGATGAATCCATGAATTTGTTTGCCGTGGCGTAGAGCATAAGTATTTGCACATGCTGCCAAAAGGGTTCCAAAAGAATACTTGCTTGGTTTCGCTTCCCATTGCATCTCTGAAAACATTGTAAGTGCTTGTTCGCTTAAATGATGATGACCGTAGCTAGCCAATAAAGCATTCCAAGAAACCATGTCACGCCAATTACTCATCAGATTAAACCATACTCTGGCACCGTTCAAGTTCCCGCATTTACCATACATGTCAAGAAGGGCATTGCCAACCATAAGGTTTGAGTGAAAACCACGTCGATAAACATAGCCATGAGTCTGTTTCCCCATTTCATGATCCGAAAGTCCCGCAGACAAATTTAACATCAAACAAAGAGTGACATGATCCAAGTCCTTAACAGCGTCAAGCATCAAACCCAAAAAATCTAATGCCTCATACCATTTAAAGAATCGGGTATATCCGGCCAACATAGCATTCCACGAGATCACATTTCGTTCAGGCATCTGATCAAAAAGCCTTCTGGCATCCCAGGTTTTACCACTCATTGCATACCCTGACACAATGCAAGTCCACGACACCAAATCTTTGGAAACAAGCTGATAAAAAACGTGAGAACCACTCTCCAATTCACCACACTTGACATACATATTGATTAGAGAACTTGAAACGACGTTATCCTCACGGAGTCCCCATTTCACAACAACCCCGTGAATTTGCATCCCCTCCCCAAGCGCGTGCATACTCGAACAAGCAACAAGAGCATTAGAGAATGTAAAATTCAACGGCTTAACTCCAGCAGAAAACATTCGAGTGAACAAGAAAACAGCTTCCTTTGCATCCCCAACATCAAGATACCTTCTCACAATAACATTCCAAGTGACAGCATTGCGACGGGGCATTTCATTAAACATCCTGCGAGCATATACCATAACCCCACATTTAGCATAAACATCAACAAGAGCACTCCCAATGATCACATTGCCACAAAAACCAAATTTCACAACAAGCCCATGAAGCTGTTGGGAGAGAGGAAGCTGAGAAACAGCAGCACATGAGGAAAGAACACCGGCAAAGGTGATATTATTAGCACGAACAGCAGACCTATTCATGCAAAGGAACAACGAAAGTGCTTCGTGCGGGTAGCTTAATCGAGAATAAGCGGTTATCAAGGCATTCCAAGAGCCACCATCTCTGTAAGGCATTTGGTCAAACAGTTCCCGGGCGTCATGGAGAGACGAGCATTTAGCATAGGCTTCGAGGGCGCGGTTGCGGAGGAATGTGGGTGGGTTAGGAGTGGTAGCGACCAAGTGGAACTCAACCTTATGAGCTGCAACGATGGCTTTTGGGGAGGTACAATGACGGAAGAAGTGGGCGTAGAGAGAGTGAGGGAAGGGTAGTGGGAATGCGAAGAGAATGGATGCGGCTTTTTGTATTTGACCCACTTTTAGCAAGTTGGTGATTGATTTGATTACTTGATTGGTGGTGGTGGCGGCGACGCGTGGGTGTTGGGTAATCATGGAGGATTGTTTCAGTACAGAAGCGGCACATTACGCCCATACAAACTGTTTCTGCTTTCGCTCGGGTGCTGTGTGTTTTTTTTTTCTAGAGGCGTTAGGTTTTGGTCGGCCTTAATATCCGATTACAATCCTTAAATATTTAAATTAAATTAAATTATATTTTAAATTTAATATAAAATATTTTACTTTCGCTCGGGTGCTGTGTGTTTCTACTTTCTGCTTTATTTTATTAAATTTTTTCATTTTTTTAATTATATTTTACTTCAAAAATAAAAAATATATAAATTCACGTGGATTTAAAAAATAATTAAATAATTAAAAAATGTCATGTAAACTGTCAAGCAGACAGTTAGAGTGTGGTAATCTGAGAATTGAGAGAGGGTTTTAACAAAAAATCATGGTAAAATATCATTTTTCGTCCAATTTTCATAACCCCCGTCAACTTTTGCTAGCGTGGCATCCTATATGTCAATTACTAAATTCCACGTATTATTTTATTTTCGTTTTTATTTATTTTTATCTTAGACAATTTCTAAATTAAAAGAAGATCAATACTAAAAATTTTCTACACCCAAGAATCAAACCCTGGTTTGCAAGGTTGTTGGTCATTGTGTGCTACCACTCAGCCACGTCACATATATTTATTAAGTGTTCATTGACAAAACCAAACACCACCAGTTATTGCAACTTGACAAAACCCAACAACAACATCATCAGTTCCAGAAAACAAAAAACAAAAAATGTGAAACAAAATCGAACAAACGAAAACGAAATCGAAAATGTGAAACGAATCTCCATTACATCATAACAAGTGTTTTGCATTCTTTACACCATTAGAGTTGTACTGTAACATTTTACCATTACAGTTGTTTTTGCAGACATTTCTCCAAAAACAGATCTGGAAGGTACAACCCATTTATTCCACTTCTTGAAAAATGCTATGGCGTTGTTCATCTTCCTCAATGGAAAAAGTCATTGTAATTCCATCTATTTGGAACACAACCGCAGCCACTACCGTCGTTATCATATTTGAACACAACTGCGGCCACTGTCGTCGTTATCATCAGGAATCTAGGAACATCATCTCTTTAATTTAGAAGAAACAATTTCTATCCCTAAACCCTTAGCCCCAATTTGTATGTACATAAAATTGATTTGAAATAATTGAAAATAAAATAAATAAGCAGTAATAAAATAATAATAAACTTAGATCTATTAATCTATTATCAGTGTTGAGGAATTTCAATCTTGAAAAGAAATGGCTACTTGGCTTTGTATTGTTTGACGAATTACAAGTGCAAATAGAGTACTTGTGACTGACTTTAACGAACTACAAATGGATAAATGTTTGATTATTTGTGTTGAGAGAAAAATGGAAATAGTGTAATGAAAGAAATAATATAGACAATAAAGTCAAATCATTATGTAACACGTACCAACAACAACATAATGGTCTAGTGGTTTGATATGTTATCTAGCAATCAAGTGTACCTGTGTTTGAAATCATAATATCCAACTTAAGAGTTTCATAACTACGCAGCGGAAATCATAATATCCAACTTAAGAGGACATAACATCTTGTCCAACTGGAAACAACTTTAAAAACAACATAGTACTTAGTAAATCAATTTAAAATTCAACAATGGAATTAATAACAAAAATAAATCAACAAGCGTTCATCCCCCTGAGTGTTACATATCAGAGCGATGATACTGACTCGAACTACTGAAGATGGACAGCCTTCACTCTGGGTTACCTGCATGTTATCGATATAGGACAACATTCAAACAGAAGGAGTGAGATATTTGTGATACGGTAGGAGAACTGACTTGAGGGTTTTTGCGTTTGATCGCAAATATTGCGGTTAGCAAGAATCACCACCGACTTTTCTTTTATCCAAAAGGAAAGGTGAAAAAAGCACAGGAAAGACCTTTGAGATTATTTCTTGAGTTCGGGGGGTAGATTATGAAAAGGGAAGGTATTAGCACCCTTTTCATCCATGGTTTTCCATGAGCTCTTAGTTACTTGCTAGATCACTTGCTTTTGTTTGAAATTGTGCTTTGTGTAGTTTTTGAAAGTATTTTGTAAAGAGACCATTGTTTAGGCGAACTTTGTAATGATTCTCGTTCGTAAGAATGTATATAAAGTGTTGGTCTTTTGAAAATGTTTTCAAGTTTTGTAAGATATTTTTAAAGTGTAGGTGTTTGTTTTGAAAATAGCAAGGATGTTCAGTTTTGAAATGGAGCAAGTAGCTAGGAGCATTCTACCTACTCAAAAGTCTTTCATGTTCATTTTTTCTTTCCTTTGACATTGTTATCTTACCATTTATTTGGTAAGTAACCCTATCTTTGGATGTAAACGGGACGGGCATGGGTCATTGTATAACCATGATTAGCAATGTTGCAAGATATCTTGGCATTTTTATTTATGGACTAAGATCATTTTGAAAGGCAACTTAGATAGCGTCGTCGAGGGACTATGATCTTGTATTTTTGCTTGTTTTTGCTAAGATACCTCACATGCGTATGTTGTACCCCAAAATTTGCCCTCTCATTTCTCAAGGATTTTCTCACAAGATCTTCTATGACATCAAGTTTGCAGCACTGATACATCAATTTAGGCTTGGAATTGGCAAAAGGTCAAAATTGTCAATTGCATACTAGAAAGTCAAACTTTGACTTTTTGGTCAACATTACAACCCAAAGATCAAATTTCATCAAGACATTAAAAAATATCAAGCTTGATCATCAATAAGTTGAGAAAGTCAAAAGTCAACTTGAAAAGTTAAGATTTCCAAGACTTAGAAATTTTCTAAGTGTTTTTATACATGATAATTCCATCACTTCATGCCATTCTTTCACCAAGATGCAAGACAGTTCAAGGGAAACTTTCAACATGAAAGTTGTATATCTCCATGATATCTACAACATTTCTTTACACAACTTCTCCTAGAAGTGCTTGGATTTTGAGTTATAAGTTCATGAAGTCATGACATTTTCATTTAACACTTAGAGAAATTTTCAACAGATTTTGTTCAGGATTTCATCCCAACTTCTTGGCATTTTTTCACATAGTTCCAAGATGATTTTGTCAAAATGGACAATATGAAAGTTATAGAGGGTGTTTCAAGCTTTCCAAAACATCCAAGAGCATGAATGTATCATATTTGAGCTAGGAGATCCAAGGATCTGAAGTTGGACATTCATTCTTGATTTACAAGGCATATTTGTGATGAACACTTGACTAAAATTCCAACCAAAGCTACAAGATCTCTCTTTTCAGGCTATGTTCTCTCCAAATATATGCCTAATCAAGCATTACACAAACCCTAAGTGTATTACACAGGCATTTGAAGTTTTGTCCAAGTCTTGATACCATTTATGGTTAGAAATGCAAAAAGCAACATTTCCATTTGCATAAAGCTTCACTTTTCCAACCACTCTCTTCTTTCAAAGCTTGAAATTTGTTCCAAAGATGACAGAAAATCTCTCAACAGCAGAAGAAATCTACAAGACCTGCAAAGCATGGCTAAAGTTCCTTAATTCACTCCTTTCTTAATCATGAAGCAGCTTGTCTTTATGAATTTGAAAAAAAGGCATAACATGTGATTTTCAAAAAGTCTGAGTTTCTTAAGTCTCAAACCTTCTCTATAAATAGAGAGGCCAGTTTCAAGAGAGAGAGGGTTGAAAAAGGTTAGAAAAAATAGAGAGAGAGAACAAGGAGAAAAGCCAGAAGTTATATTGGTAAACCCTCAAAAATCTCATATTCACAAAAGCCATAACAGTCCACAAAACTTCCACTCTTGGGTTTTAAAGTCCAAACCTTTGAACCTCTCATACCTTGCAAGTTCTGCCCAACCATCCAAACATTTCATACCATACAGAGGTTGTTTAGTAACCTTAAAAAAAAGGAAAGTCTAGCAGCTGGTTGGAGCTTCCTTAAGGTTCATACAACATCTTGAAGGATATTTGGTTTCAAAACTTAAAGTGCAGTTTTAAGGTAAGTCATCTTTACCTTGCCTTTTCCATACATCAACTTTGTTGTTTATAGGATGTAGCAATCACTGTTTTGAAGTTAATCATTTATTTGTTGTTCATGTTATTCATTCATATGTTAAAAACTAACTAATGTATGCAAAAAATGGCGTTTAATGCAGAAAAATGCAGGATGTATCGACACATATCCACACGTGTCGACCCATCTTAGTGAAAAAAGGTGTATGAGTCGACACATGACCCTCATGCATCGACACATACTGAGTTCAAGTCATAAAACAGGGACTGGAAAGGACTATGAGTCGACACATACGCATTTCGCGTCGATGTAAAAAGGTGTATGAGTCGACACATCCCATTATGTGTCGACACATACTGAACAAATTTCACAAAATAGAAGCTGGAAAAGCCTATGAGTCGATATATACGCGTTTTGCGTCGATACAAGAAGATGCATGAGTTGACACATCCCATTATGTGTCGACCCATACTGAACTGATTATATTTTACAGGAGCAGGAAGAAGCTATGTGTCAATGCATAGCAACATGGGTCGACACATAGCAGTTAAAAATGCAGTTTTCCTTTTATTTTACACTGTTTTTACATTGTTTTCATTACCATTCGATATGGTTGTAATATTTCAGTCTCCATTTCATCCCTATTGTTAAATTGTACCCCCATCCCCCTAAAGTGATGTAATAGCTTAGATTTTATTTTCCGCATTTTTACTTGCTTTTCGTATATTGCTAGTAAATAGGATGTATGGCAAGATAAAATCAATAAGTAGATAACTTTAAAAAACAAGACAAAATGCATGCAAACTAACACACTATTCACACATGCATCCTTAGGATAATCCCATCTCGTTGCCCCTTTCGGAAAATAGTCATGTCCCTCGAACATGGGAGTTTTAGCAAAAAGCCCTCGATAAAAGATTGTAGTCCCTCGATGACCCTCGATGTTGCCTTCGGTAAACGATCTAGTCCCTAAAACGACATTGCTA